ATATATATATAAAAGTAAAATTTAGCATGTATACATGTTACATGTATACATATATACATATATATTAATGGCACGCTATATACATTATACGTTCTATATGTCTCACGTCATTTGATTTGATCTATGCTAGTATCAGGCTGATTCTGTATTTTGTAATCAGTCAGACGCCCTTTTCAGGTCAATAAAGTGAATCCCTATATTTACCTTATGCTTTATATATAAAGCAAATTTGTCTATTATCATATATAGTGTCATGTGATATGTCGCTATACGTTCAATAATAAAGAAGACTCTGTATAGTGCTCTTTTGGTAGTCTCTTTGTTTGTTTTTTATCTGACTATATTCGTTATATTCTCCCCTTTTATTTGCTATGTCGCATGTTAGGATTCGATCAGCTGTTTATTTTATTCTGTAAGTCAATAAATCAAAATTTGTCTAATGGTAAATCTATTTTTATCTATTGTGCCCTATGTCGCTGTACTTTCAGTAATTATAAAGATACTATTAAGTGTCATTTTAGTAGTTGCCTTGTTTGTTCTTTTACCATGTTAGGATTCGATTATTTGTTTATTTTTACACGGCCACATACCTTTTTAAGTCAATATATCAAAATTTGTCTTATAGTAATTCTATTTTTATCTATAGTGTCCTATGATATCTCGTATGTTGCTGTACGTACATTAATAATGAAGATACTGTGTAGTATCCTTTTGGTGGTCGCCTTGTATATTTTTCTATCTAAATATATTTATTATATCCTTCCCTTTCATTTACTATGTCGCGTGTCACGATTCGATCAGTTATTTATTTTGTATTTAGCCAGAGGGCTTCTGTAAGTCAATAAATCAAAATTTATCTTATAGTAAATCTATTTTTATCTATAGTGCTCTATGGTACCTTATATTTCGCGATATGGTCAATATTAATGAAGATACTGTATACTGTACTCCGTCCAAATTCGGTCTAAATACTGTTCGAGATGCTGCAAAAGCGGACATTTCAATGCAGAATGCTCCGAAAAGTCTATAATTTGTCCGTTCTGCGGACTTAGCCACTGGTCTACTGCCTGCCCCACAATATCAGCTCCAAAATGTCCCAACTGTAGTGGTCCTCACCCCGCCTTCTCACCACGATGTCCTCACAGAAGCGCTCATCCCGCAAACTACAACCAAACCCAACCAGTACACACAGAAAAACAAATCTCATCCTACGATCTCACCTCTGACATGAAATCCCTCATCCACTTCACATCCATGCTCCTATACAACGTCTTCCCTGAAAAGAGAAGCGCAATAACCCTATACCTTAACCAAATTTCCAACGCAATGTATAGATGTGCCATAGCCACTTCATGCACAAATAATCTAGTCAATCAAACCTTTACCCACCTCCACATCTGAATATCACACTTCACATATCAACACATATACACATACCAACTACACCCATATACAACACTTTACCTTCCCTCAGCTCACAATCCAAATTAATAAACACCTAATCCCATATCTCAATAATAAACATAAAGTCCAAATTAATAAACATACAAAACTCCACAAACACACAACACAACACTACACTGTGAGCACCGGCTACACTCCTTAAGAGTCGATTAAATATACACAAGGACAGGGGGAGATTGGTTTTCTGTGGTTTCCCAATCTCATTGCACAATGATACCTGATCCTAGGTGAGGACACAGCCACAGCTATCCTCCACGCGTTTTTCCAACAAACAAACAATGGCCAACAATCTGAAAGGAATCGTTTTTCCAAGGAACTTGTACTTCGTGACAGGCTTGGTATACCTGACTAACTTTTCCGGAAGCCGCATTTCTGCCTCTTGCCTTCTTCTTGTTCTCGGCTCCCTTCCTATCCCTCTCCTACCCTCTTTGACTTTTTAGCTCTTTAGCGGCGGCGCCCTTAGTCTTTGGAGTCCAATTGAAGTCATACGAGCGAAAGCTAGCATTTCGAGCCAAACAAGCATAAGCACCCAAGAAACAAACCCATCCTTGAAGAAGCATAGAGCTTAAAGCAAGGTAAAAACGCATTGATTGATTGAGATACTGTATAGTGCCATTTTTGTAGTCGCCGTGTTTATTTTTTCTATCTGAATATATTCGTTATATCCTCCTCTTTCATTTGCTATGTTGCATATTAGAATTCGTTTAGTTGTTTATTTTGTACTCAGTCAGAGGCCTTCTTTAAGTTATTAAATCAATAGTTGTCTTTTAATTAAACTATTTTTATCCATGGTGCCCGATGACATCTCGTATGTAACTATAAGTTAATTATGAATGAAGACAATACCATTTGAGTAGTTGCTTTGTTTGTTTTTTCTATCTTAATATATTCGTGATATCCTTCCCTTTTATTTAACGTATCACACGCCTCAATCGGACCAAACACAACATATTTGCTACCGTCTCTCCTTTCAAATGATGTACGTCACGATTCGACGAATTATTCTATCCCCACCACAAAACGCCTAAAAAATTATTTAATTCTACATAATTATGTTTAACTTGATTCAAATTTATTTAATTCTCTTTACCTTTATTTAATCTTATTTAATATTATTTAGTTATTTTATTTTATTTTGGTAAAGCGTTGTCATTTTTATAGTAAGTGTATGTGTATCTCATGATACTAGGTATAACAACAAGATATGCTCACTTGCTGTTCTAATTTTAATTGACTTTACGCAAGTCGTCATAGGGAGACAAAACCAGGTAACTTGTATGTATCATATTTTAACGATGCATCATATGGCAACGTTGTTCCATTACTGTAATAAACAACTTCAAAACTTAAACTGTTAACGGTAAGTATACCTCGATGCCATATCTTGCACTAAGAAGTCATAACTAGTTACTTTCTGTAAAAACGTGTTTTGAAACTAATAAGTAATTTGTAAAATTAATTAAAGAAATATATGAATCTACGATTACCATAACATACACCATACAAACCATAATATAAATGAGCGTTCTATACACACCATTTAATCAACAATCCTTGCTTAGGCATGTAAGTAGTATAACCCATACATCCATAAGTAATATTGGCACTTTTTGCAACAAACCTGATAAAACTCTTTAAGTTACGATATGTAACTGTTTTAGCATATTAATTTAACTTATCCCGAGTACTAGACATGACCAGAAAATTTTAGTGGTCGAAACCGGTCATCATAAGCTAAATAAAATAGATTGTGAGCAAGTAGAAAATTTTTTTCTAGAAACCTGTTTTTTGCTTAGATGAAACTGAAAAACTTTTAAGTTCTGAGTATATACTATTATAATAGAGAGTTATTATAATAGAGAGTTATCAAATAAAACTTTATCCTTCCGTTATTTTGACACGTAAACGCTATTTTTTACGGTATAAAGTTTTACGGATATGTAAATATAGAGTTATCAAATAGTCGAATTGGTGCTTCACGTTAATAGTTATCAATTGTCAGTCAAATGTGACAGAAAAATAAATAATTTTTTGTTTTCTTTCATCCAAGGTATATATTTTGTCTGGTTTTGTACATTTTTGGTTTCAAATTTTTTCTACAGAAATATGAAAGACATTTTAGAACAAGCAATATTAGTTGAAGCAAATGACGAAGTTATAGAAGATTTAATACTAAATCATATTTTAAATGATAACATATAAAATGTACATTCAGTATTCAATTTGGATAGCTTAGAGCCTGAGCAAGCCAAATAGTATTTTCGGTTTGAAAAACAAAACATTCCAGAGAGTTGACTTCTCGCATTTCTTTTACTAGTAAAAGGTCATCAGTGCTTGTAGAATGCAGCCTTTTTGTCGTTTTCACTATTTCTGTGTTTATAATTGATAAATATAATGAAATATAATAAAATATTTTATTTGTCTCGCAGATGCTTAACCAAGAAAACAGAAAACACGTGTTAACCAATGCATAGATAGAGATAAAATTACAGATCACGAACTCCAATCTCCGAGTCCCGAGTCTTGACGAATTGATGCGATTCGCTGCTAACGTTACCGTATATCAAACCCGCTATTCGACGTACGATAACGGAGCCCGTAAACGTTAAAATCATTTACGTTATTCACGTTTCATACTGCGCATGCTCCGCTGTCAAAATAACGTTACCGTATTCTCACTCTTTAGAGAGTTATGAAGTAAAATTTTATCCTTCCGTTATTTTGACACGTAAACGCTATTTTTTACGGTATAAAGTTTTAACGGATATGTAATTTTAGAGTTATCAAATGGTCGAATTGGTGCTTGACGTTAAGAGTTGGCAGCTGTCAGAAAAATGTCGTATTTGACAGCAAAATACAAAGTTATAGAAGATTTAATACTAAATCATCTTGTAAACATCAATATAAAATCATATTTTAAATGATAACATACAAAATATACATTCTGTGTTCAATTTTGATAGCTTAGAGCCTGAGCAAGCCAAACATTTTTCATATTTTCGGTTTGAAAAACAGGGCATTCCAGAGGGTTGACTCCTCGCACTTCTTTTACTAGTAAAAGGTTATCAGTGCTTGTAAAACGCAGCCTTTTTGTCTTTTTTATATTTCCGTGTTTATAATTGATAAATATAATGAAATATAATAAAATGTTTTATTTCTCTCGCAGATGCTTAACCAAGAAAACGGAAAACACATGTTAACTAATGCACAGAAATAAAATTACAGAACAGGAACTTTAATCTCCGAGTTCCGAGTCTTGACGAATTGATGCAATTCGCTGCTAACGTTACCGTATATCAAACCCGTTATTCGACATACGGTAACGGAGCCCGTAAACGTTAAAATCATTTACGTTATTCACATTTCATAGTGCGCATGCTCCGCTGTCAAAATAACGTTACCGTATTCTCACTCTTTCACTTGATAACTCTCTAATAAAAAGTTTTGGTACATGTGAAAAAACTTCTGTAAATATTTTTACTTATAAATTTTTTCATGTATTTGTTCAATATCAATCCATATTTTTTTTTTTTTAGGTATTATCAGATCTCTTCTTTATAACAGGTACAGTTGGTTGTGCCAAACATCATGCAGCTACGTCTGATAAACCAGTTTATTTGTACAGAATGTCTTTAGATGCTGGCCTTAACATATTTAAACGATTGGCCAAGCTTGATTTGCCAGGTACCTTTTTTTCAATGTATTTCTTATTCATCATCATTCATCATTCTTTTTGTCCTTATACCCATATGGGTTTTAGCTTTTCTAATTAAATTTCTCCACAAGTTTCTATCTTGAGTTAGATTTATATGAATCCCCTACACCAACATATCTTGTCTAAGTGTCTTTCTTTTATTTCTTTGAGAACTTGGAAATTATTCGAATTGGATAAATAATATCTTAACCTTAAGCATGTCCGAAACATCCTAGCACCTTCCATTTTGGCAATAATTGGTATTACCCCCGTACTTCCAATAATGTGTTTATTCCTAATTTTACCTTTTTTGTTCCTTTACTCATCCATATATTCATTCCTATTTTCGCCATATGCATTCGTTGTTTTCTTTTTAACTGCCTAGTTTGTACACCATAGCTGGTCTTATGTCAATGTTACAGAATTTTCCTCTTAGTTTTATATGAATATTTTTCACACCACTCGCTTCTTTTCACTTCATCCATTCTCCTCTAATCCTACTACCCACATCTTTATTCCATTACCCTAGAATTCCGATTCTAGGTACTTAAAACTATTACTTTTGACAATCGTCTTCCCATCCCATCATTTTATCTGAAGTAACTCAAGCATCTCATGAGAGATGTACTAACATCTCAAATTCTCTGTTTTTTGCTCCAGTCTCTTGTGTTCCAGTTCTATGTTTAATTTCTTTATCTAATTTGTCATCATTGGTTATTTGCATGCCTAAATATTTGTATTTTTGACAGTGATTTATTTTTCGTTGTATTTCTTTCAATATTAGTTTTTGTTGAATTTCCCCAGTACACATATATTCAGTTTTCTTGATATTTGTTTTTAGCCCCTATACTTCTTATTCTTCGATAAGTTTACGGGTCATATATTTGAGGTCTTCATAGTCATGGGCCGTCACTATCTGGTCGTTTGCAATACTTAATGTGTACAATATTGCGTAGTTTAGAGGAATTCCCATGTTTCTGCATTTACCAAGTGATATACTTACTTTAAATTTGTTTCAAATCCATAAATACTAAATATCATCATCATCATCAATCTTTTTTTCTTATACTTACTGTATGTTGCCTAGTGTCCGTAAGAATTACCAAATCGGTATCAGGTTAATATAACATATTCTAGATATTTTTCTTAACATATAAACTAAGCATAATTAAATATATTTTCTTTATTTCTAGGTGTAAGCCATATTGACGATCTTGGATACTTATTTAAAAACGCAGCCTTCCCTTCACCAAAGAACGGTACCATTGAGGAGATTTCTGTAAGAAGATTTGTAAAACTATGGACCAACTTTGCAAAATATGGAAATCCCACACCAAACGAAAGTGATGTTGGACTTATATGGAAACCGTTGGAACCCAAGCAGGATTATCTTTTTGATATAGATAGAAAACTTTCTTTATTGACAGAAATAGAACCCGAAAGAATGAAGTTATGGCGTGAGATTTATCAGTTAAATCCTTTAACAAAAAATTTGTTGTAAATTTAGTTGTTTGTGCTTTACTATTATTTTTGAAGTTTATTAAAGTATTTGTTCAGTTGCCACTATATTAGTTTGCGGTATTATTGTTTTTTACCCAATACCCTTTTGCTAGTTCCTCTTTTAAACTTTTTACTAAATAAGTATATTTATATTATACATAAGCAAATATACCTTCAATATACTCAGGAATTTTAATATCCGCTTAAGCCTCGATCACATTAAGCGAGATCGTTCACTACTCGCTGGCTCGCGGGATTGTTAGCTATATAGTAATAGACTAGCAGCGAGTATCTGGCTCTTATTTGGTTTCAATTTCTATAAAATATCGACCGAAATAGTTAGCGTGGGTGTAATTATTTTAGCTCATATTATCAAAAAATAGAAAGAAAAAGAGAGCAGAAATGTGAAGTGATCACAGAAAGATGTGATAAGTATGGTGCATCGAGAAGTTTACTAAAAGATTTTAAGGAGAAAGATCTTTGGGTTTACCAAAATATTCTGATATTAAACCGTACCCATTTTATTAATTTTTAATAATTTACTAGAAATGGTACATGGAATGCTCAAAAATGATGGTACGAAAATGCGAATAGCAATTTCAGTAGCTACAAAACTGGAAATTACATACAAATACCTGCTTTAAGTAGACAAGTTTTTGCCTGAAGTACTGACGGCTATTGCTCGCGACTTGCAACCATTCATTAATTAAGTTAAGTGAAAATTAATTTACTACGAACTATCAAGAGTTTTCTTTTATAAGAATTCATTTAATAACAGTTACAGTATCTATATAAACTTAAAACATACTTGGTCCAAACGCATTATTTATTACATGTTTTAAAAAATCTTCATCGTTGTTTGAAGAGACAGCATGCGAAGCAGATGACTGGTTAAAAGATGGTTAAAATGCGCCATTGATTTGTAGTTTTGAATACGCCATATGCTCCAAATAGATAGCTTAGACCAAATATTACAGTTCTGAATTTCCTGTTGTAGCAAGATGGCTTGTCGTTGTATAGATAAGATATCGTAGCTCAGACGCAACAAACTTTCCAAACTGATCAAAGGGCTTTTCCTTAGCTGAATTTGTGCAATTTTGTCCAATTGGTGAATCGAATTTGATATTTTACTACTCTCTTCTGGCATTTTTCTTGACTCTTTTCTGACAGAGCCTAGAAATTGTATTCTACTGATTTAAAATATTTCTTCAATTCAATAATAATTTTATTGTTTGGGGGGTACCTAAAACATGTGATGAAAGAAAAGAAATCGAAGATAAAATTCTTCCAGTGGCGTGGGAATTTTCCTACATGTTTTGAAGAACAACGGGAAACAGGTCATCATTAAAATACATTTGTGTTCTAGCTCAATTTACTTCAATTATAAAAAAAATCTATGTTGTCGTAATATTTGCTATGGTTGATGCCGATTAATGCTTTACTTATATCAATGTATATACAAAGGGTCGAGCAAGTAAAGGACAATATTTAGAGATGGTACTTTAAACATTGCAATGGAAAACAATACTCTAAGGATGCCTGAAAACGCCATTATTGTTGGAGATGATGATTTCTTTCTCTTTAAAATCAACTGATAGTTCAGTAAAACTGATCACAGTATGTAAAAAAAAATATTTAATTACGAAAAATCTTTTATTTTAAATCCTTTATAAAAGGTATATAATAAAAAAGTATGTTGTGATATAGCCCGTTTGGGTATTTTATTATATACATTTTATAAAGAATTCGAAATAAAAATTTCTTGTGATACATGGTATACAGCCAGCTACAGGAACTCACTTTCCTAGTGGAATTTAATTATGGTCTATCTCGTACCAGACGAGTTATAAAGAATGCTTTCGGCATACATGTATGGAGATTTAATGTATTCTCAAGACCAGTTGAGTTGAAACTCAAAACTAGCGATAAAGTCATTTTAATTGACAACGAAAAACTGATTGAGGCAACTACTTACTGCAATAAATAGTAAGTAAAGAGAATTTACATACTGGGAATATAACACCTAAGATATGAAGGAAAAATGGCAACAATAAAGAAGAAGATGAAGAATATGTTCTGCAATAAGATATTTAGCAGATATAAAAAAAATATTTTGTGATGTTAGATTACCATCTTTGAGTTGTTTTGAAGAATATATCTATAAGAATAAACTATGAATTATGCTTATCTACCAAAACGGTTGAATTTTAAGGGAACTAATAAGTATACCTTTTCTTTGTAAAAATAATGTATCTTTAAAATTTTTTAACACAAATAGAGCTAACTTGAAGAGCAAAAAAGTTAAGCGCAAATTTATGCCACACATGTGACATACGTGGCGTCATCTATCAGTTACAATAAAAAATGTATAAAATTATAATTTACCCAAACTCAAATGCATTTAATTGTAAATATTTGTCTAAAAATATTCACAAACGTAAAAGTCATAGTAAAAATTAAAATTCTAAATTTCCACTTTAACATCATGTATCTTTCTTAATATCAACATTTTATTAAAGCAAGTTGACTTAAATCGTAATATTTAGAAGTGCAGAACGTACGGTTTCTGTTTGTACAATTACTTAAGGACCACCCTGTGTTTGGGATTAAACTTAAAAGGTCGCTGGTTAAATGAAAATGGATAAATAATTATAAAGAAAAAATGCAATATTTGTTTGTACATAAGATTAGCGAAAATAGCAACTATCAATTGTGAATATATTATGAAATTAACTGGTTCTACTCATTATCGTTATTTTTACAAAGAACATAGATTTATCCTTTGGTTCTATTGTAGCATTTTCAATTTCATTGATTCTTTTAAGTATATTGAAGTCCCCTCGTATACGAAATATTAAAATCACCTTATATATTTTTGATAGATCTAAAAATATTTCGTACGCATTTAAACCCAAATATCTTTTCATTTCTTTCTTAGGTCGGCCAAGTTGAAATAAACCATTTTAGAGTTGTTTATTTATTTTAACTTCCTCGGCAAATTCTTGTTTTATTAGAAGCGGCAATTTTAATGCGTCGCAAAAGGATATGTACGTCGTTTCGTGGTGTCTTGTTATGTCAGCGTTTGTATGTATGCGTTCAATTTTAATAGAATTTCTTGACTCTCGTTGTAGCAGCTTTCAAGAGCGATTCAGCGTTATGTCCAAATTCACGTCGAATTTGTAAAGTATTCTGTTTTCGTCTTTTGTTTTTTCCCCCAATTTTCTATCTCCCGTATTAATGCCCCCTGTTGTAGGCAAAATATTTTCGTTACAAAAATAGCGCCCAACGTGTGTGGCATTTCTTAGATTTGCGACATTTTTACTCTTCGTTACAAAAATGTCGCCCAACGTGTGTGGCATGTCTTAGATTTGCGCCATTTGTACTTTCGTTACAAAAATGGCGCGACCATCGTGGGGCGTTTTTTAGATTTTTGTCCCCTTTCCCGTAGCCACATATCTTTTTCAGTTCGTCCCTAGTTTTCAGTCATTTATATGAAACCCTGTCTTCCAGATAGTGCCCCGGTGTCCCACAAACAGTTTGTTTATTGTATTTGTATCAACATATGTATTGTTGTTTTCTCTATGTATTGTTCTTGTATTAACATATGTATTGTTGTATATCAACAGATGTATTTATTGTATATTGACGTATGTATTATTGTATATCAACAGATGTATTGGTTGTATATTGACATATATATTGTTGTTTCTTTTATTTTGTGTACTGTAGAAAGTTTTCTATATGTATTTTATGTGTATTGGTAAATGAAAGCAAATATTTTGAGATTGAATATTGAATTTTAAGTTATTTACAGTAGAGGAGAAGGTGGGAATATGGCCCATGCTGGTAAATCGGCCCCCGAGTGAATTTGTTACTTCCGCCAATGCGAATGTTGATTTACACTTGATACTACATCTATCTTTATCTAACGAAACTTGTCAGGACCCGAGAACTACCGCGCTTAGCCTTTAGTCGACTTAAACAGCTCGCTTCATTCACGTGCTTAACAAAACTTTTTGCTGCTCTTGTGTTTATGTTGTTTTTTCCAAGAAACCAGTTATAAACATTATCTTTCTCTGATTAGTGTGTAGAAAAACCGTTGCATATCGACTTTTAAAGGTAGCTATGAACATTTTGCAATAGATATAACTTGTTTTTGATATTTTGTTTATAATGTAACTATTTATTTAATATGGCCCCCTGAATGTGTATGCATTATGGACCCGGGTTCATATTACATACACATTGAGGGGGCCATATTACATGTTTGCATTTTATTATTTCCAGATGCCTCGTACTAACCTTTCTCCTAAATCTGAGAAAAAAAAAGAGGAAATTGTGGAGTCCTAACGACATGAAAAAGGCAATAGAGGCTGTTCGTAATAAGCATATGGGTTTTAAGAAAGCAGTCAAAACATTTGCTGTACCAAGAACTACGTTAAGAAGGCTAGTTCATGATCCTGAGTTATCATTGGATATGTTAGTACGAAAACCGTTAGGTAGAAAAACTATTTTACCTTTATCTCTGGAGAAACAATTAGTTGATTATCTTTTGCAAATGGAGCGCACCTTTTATGGACTTACACGCTTGGATGTTAGGCGAATGGCTTATCAATTAGCAGTCAGAAATAACATCCAGAATGCATTTCAAAATGAAAGAGCAGGTAGAGCATGGCTCGACCATTTCTTAAATAGACATAAAAAGCAATTATCTCTCAGAAAACCAATGGGAACATCTTACGCTCGAGTGCAAGGATTCAATCGCCCTGCTGTTAAGGAGTTTTTTCATCTGTTAGAAGTTGAATATGCAAGAAAAAATTATTCTCCCGACCGTGTCTATAACGTAGATGAAACTGCACTCACAATCGTGCAATCAAAAGTACCGCAAGTAATAGGACGAAAAGGTAAAAGGCAAATAGGGGCGTTAACTGCAGCAGAACGCGGATCTTTAGTGACGTTGGTGTGCGCAATGAGCGCAGGAGGGACTTTCATCGCACCAATGTTAATTTTTCCAAGAAAAAATTTTACAGATGTATTAATGAAAGGGGCTCCGCCAGGAGCAATC